TTCAGGGAAAACATAAATATGGTGTCCCTGCTAGACTTTGTTCATAGAGAAACTGCAATTACAGATTGCAGAAGAGAAACAAAATACAATTCACATCCTCTCAAGGTGGTTTTTAAGGGGTAACAGACCAACCCTTCCTTGAGGGATAGCAAGGGTATGTGTTGTGTCGGGAGCTGTTTGACTCGATGCTGATGAAAGTGAAAAGTATGGTTATGAAGGGAGCAAATCACTGCTCTTATAAAAGCTGGAGAAGAGAAACAGTGACCCTCAAGTTTTAAGTGAAATATAATGACTTCATCCCACTCATCAATCAAAGACCCACCCTTTAAAAACTGCCACTTATAAAGGTCGGGCTTAATTGATCAGGAGGGAGAAAATTTTATGCCGTCCCACCTTCCTTCCTAAGCCAAGTGAATTAGAAATTAAAATTTCCCCGTGACCTTCATCAATTACCCTTCCATACATTTCCCGTAAAGGATGCCCCAGCAATGGCTTAACGAAGCACCTGGACCTTCAACCGTTGCTCAGTCCTTAGATTAAGCAGCCTCATCTGCAGACAGGTAGCTCAGTGATGGGGGAACCAGTGAAAGGAATCTTTTTATAACACACAGAATGGAAATTTCAAAGCGACTTCCTACCTTCCTCTGATTTTGAAAACAGATGTGAGTTTGGGCAGACACCGTCGCCTCTCCTACATTTTTTTCCTCTCTTGGTGTTTGGATCCTATTAATCATTGCAATCTGAAGTTTCACACAGGCCAACCAGATGCCAAAGGTCTTGCCAATGGGATGATTTTACCATTAAAGCTCGGCTCCCTGCCCTTCCCACTCTTGGAATTTCCAATGACAGAGACCGCGGTTAGTTGCAGCGTGCGGGCGAAGGAAGCAAAAATGAAAATCCGGAGACCATGCTCCTTTCCGATTCGTGCATGAGCACTTGAGCCCTGTTTGCAGATACTCTCCTGACCTAAGCTTCTGCAACAGGGGCGTACCCCCCCCCACATTGCTGAGTGCCAGAGTGGCCGGTAGAGATGGGGTGCCCAGAACCACGGTTATCGGAGAGCAAAATTAGACTTGAGCAAGTAGAGAGACTTCTCTAAAAATAAAGTGAGGACAAAGCGAAGTGAGGACAAAGTCGGCCGTGCACTAAGTACCTCACCTTAGAAAACAAAACCCTGACACCGGTGTGTGGTTCCCAGGACAACGCTGCTCTTCCCTGTCCCCAGCTGTCACCCCCAGCCGCCACCCCACACACGTGGGCTTTGCAGCTTCATCCTCTGTCCACCCCGCTCACACAATTTCTTTTGCATTAATCCCAGCTGTTCTCATGGCTTCTCACACCCTGCCTGGAAATAATGGTCGCATTGGGCTCGACAACCCTAACCCGTCTTCAGATCGCAACACCAAATTGCCGAATGCTGTCTGGCCATCTAAGGCAGGTGGCCTCTCACGAGGAGAGGATGCAAACCCCACAAATTCAGGATCCCCCCACGAGCACCCCCCTGACTCTATGAACCTCCTGGACCCTGAATTCCCTACCCCACGAATGCCAGCACTCTCTGTCCGGAAACATCTTCCAACCTCCCCCTTACTGCAAACGTTCTGTCTTTTCCCCAGCGCCCCACCAATCCAACACCCCTGCTCCTGCACTAGACAAAACCCTCATCACCTCTTGCCTGGACCGGCACACCGAGGAGACGTCCTAGAACGTGGGTCAGGTCGTGCATTCTAGGAACTCAATATTTACTGAGTCCTCTTTGGCTTCTCAGTACAGATTGAAAACAAATAAATAACTTATTTTATTTTGGCTCAACCCCATTCAAAGGCTTTCTAAAAACTCCAGCCGTGGGAGCAGGTCCTGAGCCTCCTTCAGAGAGTGAGTCCCCCTTCCCTGGGGCCGTATAGGGTCAGCCTCCTCTGCAGAGACGACCCCGCTTCTGCATGGGAATGAGTAGGAGGGCTTCCGACATCAGGGAGAACCTGGACAAGAGGACCCACTGGCCCTTCCCAGACTTGAGATTCTGGGAGCTGACATCTGCCTGGCCCGTGGGCTCCTTCTGGAAGAACTGCCCTGCTAGCCAGGTACGCAGAGGATCAGACCCTCGGAAGCCACGTTTCTAACCTTTGACCTTGCCTCCTGACCTGAGGTGACTGAATCAGGACAGAGCCTGAGAAGGTGATTTGACAGACACAAGCGGCAGGCAGCAGGCAGGAGGCATCGATCGAGCCCTATTTCGGTAGCTCCAGGCGAGGGCCCACATGTTCTTGCTGCCAGAGCCCACAGAGTCCCCTGGGTTCTGGGGCTCTTTGCAACCTGATGGAGCGTCCTTCCACTACGTTCACTGGTTTCCTAACCATGGTTTCCCTTGTGTGTGTTTCTAGTCCTTGTGACACCTAATTTGATCTAAAACTCTGCTCCCGCGGGCCCCCAAGGCCACAGAGAAGACTGATCCAGGTCTCATCCTCGTGCTGGGCCCCTCTCAGGACGGTGGGGCAGGGACTCTCATGCCCAAAGCAAACTCCTGCTCTTCCCCAAGCCACCAAACCGGACCACAGAGAGCCCTGAGGGCACAGGTGGCTGCTCGGGCCAGTTTTCAGAAAAGAGATGTGTCCACGCGCCCTCCCTGACCCAACTTGAGCCAAGGCTCCTCTGGGCCTCCGGGGGCCTGTCAAGTCCAGTTTTAGCAAAGAATGCTGCTGAGCCCAGATTTAGAGAGAAACCTGCTGAGCCGGTTTAAAGGACTTTCCCCACCCCTGACACCAATCGAGCTCTCTCTGGTAATGTTGTAGGCACCGCGTCCCCCACAATGACCGGCTGCAGACCCCGGGCTGCCCCGGCTGCCTTCAGAGTTAGGCTCAGTCCTCCAGTGGGGTTGACATTCTCTCCTGCAGTAGCTCCCAAGTCTGGTCATTTTAGACCAGTTAACAGTGTCATTTTTCTTTAACAGATGGGAACGGCCTTGCAGCCAGATGCACAGAGCCTAGACGGCCCCCCGGAGCGTCGCCAGCCAGGGAAGCAGGAGCCTGACTCTGACATACACTCGCCTTGATCCACCCAGAGTCAGGCTTCTCCGAGAACTCAATCTGACGAGGCCTCACCACCCGTGGGCTCTGTCCTTGGCCTATTTAGTCCACTTTTAGAAAGAATCCTGCTGGTTCCATTCAGAAAAAAAATCCCCTACCCTTGATATCTGATCAAATTCCTCATCCCGCACCTGTCAAGCCAACTGAGCCAACCCCCCTTACCTCGTAGACTTTTTCCATCCATGGACCCCCATCCTGCTCCTTGGCAGTGAATTCCTACTTTTCCTTATATTCAAAGGGGGGCCAGACTCTCTTTCCTCCTCGAAGACCCCATGTAGTGGTCTCCCTGAATAAAATCTCTTTCTTTCACCCTCTTTAATCAGCATTATGAGTGTTTTTTCTTCTTTAACAACTGCTTGCCTTCTATACGAGAATGCCCAAGAGATATCACAACCTTTAAGTATCTTTCTATAATTAAAACTTGGAAAATACAGATTTAAAAAGAAAGAAAGAAAAATAAAGAAAGGAGGGACGGGAAATGGGGAAAAGAGGGAAGGGAGGGAAAAAGCCGGAACATCTGTATCTCCTCCTCTCCTCCTCGCCCGGACTTGCTTGGGCACATCCCCTGCAGCCCGGATGTTAACCTGTGGCCTCTGGGCCAGCACCTGTGAGGTTTCTAAGTCATTAAGCGGCTAAGTACCTCGTGAGCAGACGTCCACCGCAGAAGAGCCCAATGAGGCCCATTTCGAGCTAAGCTCATCCTAAGGAAAAGCAGACTGACATGTCCACACCTAGGTCAACCGGGACAAACTGTTCTTTCCACGACCTCGAGTGCTCTGAGGAAAATACGACATCCTTCTCAACGTCCCCAAGCCCCACTGTGGGGCGCGGGTGGGCAGATCCGCTTCACGAGCCTGCCATCCAGGCCACCAGAAACACCTGCCAGGGGACTCATGTTCTCACCACAAGCAATTTCTAGGCTAGGTTTTCAAAGGGTCCAAACGAAATTCCTGACACTATTAAAGAATAAGCTAGAAACCATGCTTTGGGGCTCCAGGAAGGATCAACTAGGAAAGCTTCTTTCAGATCATATCCGTGTCTTGGGCTGACTGTGTCAGTTACGGAGAGTTATCAGGTCCCTGATACCTTTGATATGGGCGGGCAGTAAGGGGTAACAGAAGAGAGAAGCTATGCATGCGTATAATCACACACACACACACACACACACACAAGCATGCACATGTACACACGGATATTTTTCATAGAAACCAAGTCACCTGCCACATTTACAAATTAATAAGACGAAGATGAAAAATAAAATTTGGTCCATGAGAACATGCTTTTAGAACTTAGTTTTTGCTAGAGTCTCTGAATTGAAATACTCTGTTAAGCTCAGTCTTTTTACAGTGTCATCAGAAAATGGGACCTAAACTACCGTCTGATTCCTCTCACAGACACGCGAAAACAAGCTTGTTTCCACACTACTTATGTTAACAAACTTAATAAAAGTTATGAACTGTAACCACCTCGCTGGTGTGGGAACCGTGTAGGGGCTGTGAACTGAAGCTTCCCGACAAATGATTTATGAAGGAGCAGAGACGATGCCTACACTTAAATTGTGGCTGCTCCGATGCGAGAATATTCCCTATATGTCCCATTACTCATTCCTGGCGGAACCCTGCACCACGTTGGCCCGAACCTCCAGCGTCTGCAGCAATCTTGGGTCCCAAACGCACTACCTGAGGCAACCGATATTTCTTCTGCATTGTTTGCTTTTTCAGAGACGGCCAACCTAAAAGCCTGGGTGTTTAGAAATTCAAATCAGCTTCAAATCCTGTCAGAGCCACTGAGCTATCATCTTGGGGTGGGGGGAGATGAGGCTCCAAAGCACATTTCGTTATTAATAAAAAATAAAAGAGAGAGACAGCAAATAAAACCTTGAATGGGAATGCCACCCGGTCAAGCCCAGCTCGTTACCTGCGTTTGAAAGACCTTCATTTCTTTCCCAAGCAGAATGATCTTTGGGGGACGAGAAGAGCCGACTGTGGATCTGGAAGATAAACAGAATCCTTCCCAGTTTTATATTTTTATTTGCCAGATATAAAATCTTCAATAACGTGCATTATTATTTTTAAAGCATCCAGAAACGTCTCTAGAATCTCTCCCATCTCCTAAGAAAGAACTCGGGTTTTAATGAAGACTTATTTCCATTTTCTCCTGTGTTAACTCTGCAAATGAATAAAGGGTGGGTTTCTGACGATTTCAAAATGCACAAGGAGGAGGAGGGGAGGGAGAAAAACCATAATCACCTAATGCGGATTTTGCCGCGGATTTTGCCAGCAGAGCGAAGGACCACATCTAATATTTCTTTTCTCTCCCATCCTAATGCTGAATGGGTGTTGAGCTAAAATTGGACATTCAATAAATATTGATGAATTGATTAACCACAAGCAATCAAATTTCAGGAATTAGCCTTCAAGGCCCAGTGAAAATAAGATTAATATATACAAAAGTGTTCCGCTCTCTGCAAGTATGATTATGATGTGGACATTCCCTGCCAAAAGGCAAAGATTTGTTTTGTACGTTTATTCCAAAAGCAGCTGGCTGTGGGTGAGAACTTTGGTTTGGGCTTCTCAATCTACAACCAGACTCCAGAGCGCCTCGTTCCACAACCGGACTCCAGAGCGCCTCGTTCCACCCTGGGTCTGCCCCACGCCCACCAGCTGCGGCTCACCCCAGGACTCTCCCTTAGCACTGAGGAGTAACTTTGTCAACCCGTGCTGTAAGCACAGTCTCCCGTTCTGAATCTCAGTTTACTTCTTAGTCCCAAGCGGAGTTAAGCTTTCCATTGTACATGTCCCATGTTGGCCCCTCTCATTGCCAGCAATCAGGCAGCCAATGTGGGGACAGAGAAAAGCGGTGGAACCCAGAGCAGGGTGGGGCTAAGATCTGGGGAGTCAGGCACGGTTCTCTGCCACTCCCTGGGCTTCTCTGCTCTGTGGTTGCCTGGGAGCGACATGAAGTATGAGTTCTTATAACGGACATGTCAGAGGGAATACCGGAAACCCATGAAAAGTTTTCAGGAAGGAAGTAAAAGTGCAGCAATATTAGATGTCAGGATGAGAATGATTTAAATTCCAAATTCAGCAGCAGAAGCATCTCCCTGTTGCTTTAAACATGATCAAGCAGGTGGGTCTGGAACCCACCTTGGGAGAAGGGGGAACAGATGTGCCGAAGACCCCTCTGGCTGAGCAAAGATTTTAAGCTTCCCATTTCCTAGGCTGTTGCCTTGTCTGGCTCTTTTAAGAAAGATATTTATGTCCATTTTTTAAAGTAATGCTATCAAATTCAGCAACTTCATTACCCTGGAACATGACAACTCACGATTAATTTTTATCCAGCAAGTTCTGAATGACCGCGCAGTCCTGGTCGAGAGCCCCAACCCCACGGTGAAGTAACAAGTAACAAATACTGAACAGCCCTGGTTTGGAACGAGGGTCGTCCTCTCTCTCTGGGGTCCTAGCAGCTGCCAGCGGATGGCAAGCTGACTAGGCCCCACAGCCCTCTGCATCATCAAAACCTGGAACCATCTTGTATAGGCTGACCCTGTACACTGGTGCAGGGTACCACCAATCCAAGAATTCCCAGTGACGGGGGATTCAGGAATCTGTCATCAATACAGGTCTCAATCCAATAGTGACATCCTGGGAAGACTTGGCTTTGACTCTGCTTTCTGCTGGTTGTTCATTATACTGGCTTCCTATAGAACAGCAACAGTTTTTGCCCCGAGGACAAAGTAACAAGAGGGCCCTGTGTGGTCTACACTGGGGAATCTCTGTGGCATTACCAGACACCTCTCTCTACACACACTCTGTAAGAGCTTCCCTTGGCCCCCTGAATACAAATTCTCTCCCTGACTACAGGGCCTTTGCACATGCTGTTTCAGCTGCAAAGCATGTTGTTTCCTTGGTCCTCTTCTGGATCTTGGCTCACATGATCTGATCATGGGAGTGTCTGTAGACAGCCATCTCAAAACCAGTTTCCTGTTTTTTAAGATTTTAGAAGCACTCCCGTCCTTCAGCACGTGCACCTTGGACTGTAAATCTACATGAATTCATGTGAACCTAAAATTGATGTCTGCTTCTGCCCTAGATATTAACTGCTCTTAGAATAAAATTATTTAGCCTTTCTTGCCAATGTATTCCTAGCTGCTAGTATGGGCCAGACATATAGTAGACTCTCGATAAATATTTATTAGAAAAAAAAAAAGATGGAAGAATGAAGGAAGGAAGGAACGAACGAACGAACAAATGAAAGCAAAGCCTCTTCTCCAGGATAAATTCTGTGCAGTGCCCTTTGGAACCTACTCTCCTGTCTTCTTGGAGGTCACACCCCTCAAGGATCCTCATTCTGTCCTCAGTCTTCAACTCTGCCTTCCTCACATTTCTAACTATGTCCAAACCTTTCTCAAAAACAAAACCAGGGGCACCTGGGTAGCTCAGTTGGTTAAGCCTCTGATTCTTGACTTTTACTCAGGTCATGATCTCAGGGTTGTGAGATCGAGCCCCCCGTCGGACTCACGGCTAGGCGTGGGTCTGCTTAAGATTCTCTCTCTCTCTCTCTCCTCTCCCTCTCCCCCAGCTCTCCCCTCGAAAACACAAAAACAAAACAAAACCAAAAAACACAAAACCTCCCTCTCACACACATTACCTTCCTCCCTTCGCCTTCTCACTCACAGCAAATCTTGGAGATGGCCACACTGACTCTGTCCCATTTCCTCACCCCCCATCAGTCCTCAGTTTACCACAATCTAGACAGAGCCGCTGTGATCTGTCCCCGAAACGCTTCTCACTGTGCTCTCCAGTGGCCCCCTCAGTGCCCATTCCATGGCTGTATCTATCCACAACCCCCATTGGTTACCTTTCTGAAATGCCTCTCCATTCGGGCTCCAGCTCCCTCTCCCCACCCCCCGTCCTAAAGGCCCAGACCACGGCAACCTCCCCATTCTCAGCCCAGCGGCCTCCAGCCTCCACCTCATCACCAGCCATGTTTCCATAAAGCAAAGCGGTTATGTCCCTCCCAGCTTAAAATCCTTGAGTTTTTACCCATCCCACACACAGTTAAAACTCTATTCCCAGAGACATTTTTGCAGCGCGGTTCATAACGGCTAAGCATCAGAGGCTTCTGAAATATCCAACACTAGGGAATAGCTCCGTAGGTCAGAGCACACGTGTTAATGCATCCGGTCACATGATAACAGTGTTCACGGTCCGAGCCGCAGTCTCCACAGCTACAGACCATAACCACGTGTCACGGGCAGCCTTGAATGCTATGCTAACTTGGTTATTATTTCCTAGGTGATGGGGAAGTTTTAGTGATTTTTGAACAAGGCCAGTGAGTGCTTAATGCTCAGTTAAAGTAAAGCAAGTGGAAGGAGACCAGACTGGAAATGAGGTAATCAAGAACACTCCTTGAGAACAGAACACTGCGATTAGGGTCAAGGACATTAAAAGAAACATGACCCCTCACACTCATAAGGGATGTTCCAGCTCGCAAAGCTCTTTTATACCCATTCCCTCCTTTTGACTCTCCAAAGCCCCTGAGATGTGGGCAGAACACGTAGACTTATTATTTCATAAAGAAACAAAAATCCAGAGAGTGTGAGTGACCTCGGTGCCCGCGGACAAGAAAACAGGGCTCTGACTCCCAGCACCAGCCCTCCTGGCCCCTGGGCTGGCATTCCTTCCACGCCACCTCACCACTTGCTTCCTTACAGGGTCCAGACTTACCAGCACCACCAGCAGAAACTCTGTCTGACGCCAACGGGGACATTGACGACACTGACCACAATAGGATCTATGGATTCCATCAGGAGCTGGAAGCTGAGCACCAGTGAGATCTGAACATCATGGATACAGTAATACTAGAACCATCCATTTGCAGAAGACTAAACACTTTACAAGGCAGCTCTCATGTTCTCCTCCTTGATCCTCCCAAGTCTGGCCATAATAGCTGGGCCCTAATGAACAAATATGGTATTGTTTTTGCTGGTTCTGTTGTTTACCAATTTGCCCTCCGAGATAGCTGAGTTCTCATTATGAATCCATAATCCCTTATCTGCAATTCTAAAATCCATAAAGCTCTGAACTCCAAGAGGTTTTTCTTCTCTGACTTTATAGGAAACTAATCTGACAGCCAAACCTTACCTGAACTAACCTGAGGCTATTTATAATATTAATTTATTCCACTTAGTGTGAATATTCATACATTTTATTGCAAAAACATCAGTGAGCTTAATTACAGGGTGCTACCTCAAATCCCGCTAGAAATGTTGTGCAGCGTTACCTGCAGAAATAAAATTAAGAAATCATTGTTGAATCACATTTGGCCCCAAGAGTTCTGGGTGGAGAATTGTGGGTTGGTACAACAGACATTTAATAAACTTGCCGATCCCTGGGTTCAGGTTTTCCATATCTAGCCCCTCATCCAGTTCCCAGGAGATCGTTGGTATCTTTGCATTTTATGGATGCGAGCCCTGGAGCATGGAGACATTCAGTAATTTGCTCAGGTCACAGAGCTACTAAATGCCAGAGCCAGGACCCTCTCCAACTAGAACATACTGTTCTCAACATTGCCCATGTTAGCACATGTGTGTGCATGTGTGTGTGTATGCATGTGCATGGGTGTGTAGTTCGTGTGTGTGTGTGTGTGTGTGTGTGTGTGTGTGTGTGTGTGTGTAGGGGTGATCAGGGCTTTGTAAAGCACTGAGCAAGTAAAACAGGGACCAAATGAAGAGAAAGGAAAGGAGAGAGAAGAGAAACAGCTGGGAACTTCTAGTCTACCCAGCACCCGGCCTCCAACACCTCTTCACTCTGCCTCTGCTGGACGCAAGCAGGGTCTACAGAGAAAACAGAGGGGAGATTCCAAATCTGTTTATAGCCCAAGGATCAAAGACCAAGGGTGGATTTTGGCTGGGTCTTCTCTTTAAGATGATGGCAGACATTGTCGGGCTCCAAAAAAACCAGGGCCATTTCTTTTCCGCATCCAATG